TTATCATTGTACGTGTAGCAAAAGTGCTTTTACGTACCTCTGGATCGAGCAATGGCCAAGCATTGCGGTGGAATTTGTTAAGACCGGCCTGTTTTAATTTGTTCCTTGCTAACAACAGTAGTTGCCTCAATTATCTCGACGAATCGAAGCTTGGGTTTTTAGTTTGGTCTGAACCTGCATGTCTTTGGGTGCATATCAGAAATTATATTGGCCGGGTTACGAATGGCGTTAACGTTAGTGAGGACGGTAATTCGTAATGATAGATAGATAGGACCGGACCTGAAGTGAGTGCATGCGTACCACTGGTCTTCCAGGATATATATATATATATATATAATCAGATGCCTAGTCGGCACGGTGATCTTTTGCATATATAAGCCTTGGAGACAGCTAGCTACCAAGCACCACACTATGGGTTGATCGTAAAGGGTGGCAGGATTTGGGATTCAGCCTAGAAAGAGTTTGACTAACTGGTTGTCAACGGGTAGATATATATAAACTGGTAAATAGAAGCAGCGGCTAGTGGAAGAAGCTGGGATTCGGCCAAGGTCGGTTCGGCAATTTGGGAATCGTCGGGATGATGAGAGGAGGAATGGGAACTCTGACAATGTTAAGACTTGAAGGGATAGGAAGTTCTTTTCCTTGCTGGTTCATGTTGTCCTCCTCAGATACCTTCTTCTTTCCATAGTGGCAAAAAGAGGAAAAAGAGAATGGAGAGTGGAGTTTCTTGCCCTTCTTGATGTGCCTAAACTACTCTAATTAACAATAAAATAGCTAGCGTTGCTGGAAATTGAAAGGAATTGGGAAATTTAGGGTTTTTGGTAGGTTAGATGGAGGAAGAACCGCCACACCAGTCGATGATAAGATTCGGGGCAAGGCGCCACAACCAGGGGTTGATAAGCCTAATAAATCACAAGGAAATATTTCTCATTTCTCATTCTCTTTGTTGAATCATAACTTCCAGAATAAAAATGTTGCCTAACTTTGTAGTGGTGGGGTTCAATATGGTTTTGCCGCTCTCTTACCTTTAAGATGCTTTCGAATTATCATCATGTTGATAGGTAATTTCAAATTTCAGGGAGTACATTATCGATTTGATGGCAGATCCTGGGACACTTATTCCTTCTGATGCAGCTGGATTGAACGTGGAGTATGGTGACATTTTCTTCTCTGCCAGCCCTTTGTCTAGAGATATTGACTCATCTCATCTGACCTCTTCCGGTCAGAGGCGGAGGCAGGCCCTTTGGGTCTTGTCCCCGGGTAAATTTAGGAGGAACAAAAATACGCCATATATATTTATATAGTGATGGAACACAACATATATAGGTAGTGTTAGAGTATTTTGTCACTACAACACAACTCATTACTTGTTCATAAATTGACATAAAATTAATGTATTATACTATAATAGAATTTTCAATTGCAAAAAAGACCTAATTGGATCTCTTTTCTCCTTATGCCTATTCGATTTGTTCCCCCAACAACCCTGAAATTGTCTAGCGACAGCGGCTATTCCACTAGTTTTGATTCTACCAATTATAAATACAAGTGTAAAAAGAGCATTTTCAGCTTTGATTTATATTGATAACAAGTTTCCAAGTCGATTTAGCGACCAGTTTGCTAATGCTTATTTAGTGATATACATTGAAATAAACTTATTTAATAGTGTAGATAACGAATGTTTTTGCGTTTCTTTCACTATATGAAATTCATTCGTGTTGTTTATGAAAATAATGATTGTATAGTCGATTATTTTCAATCTATGAATGAATTATTTGGATATAAATATTTTTTATTAAATAATTCTTAATTAAATACTTATATATTTATATTATGAAAAGAGGGCATGGTGGTTTAAAATGCTGCCTCAGCCAATGTAGTTAAAAGCTATAGTTTAAGCCTAAAAGCTTACGCTTTTAAGTTCTTACCTCCTCCAATATAGTAATTTTCTTTGAAAAATCTTTTGACACCATAAGCTTAATATAAACTCTTTAAAACCACAATATGTGCATAAAAAATCCTTAAAAGCTAGCTTTTGGGACGCTTATAAGAGCTTTTAATGATAATGTTTATGGAGCGATTTGGCACGTCGTGCGATGGTCAAATGGTTTTTTGTGGATGAAAAAACTAAAGTGATTATGCCGCTGGCTTCAAAATGATTCTTTTAACATGAATGATGATTGATGTATTTATGAGGAGCATGATGTTAGTGACAATAACAACTATGATGATGGCGGTAATTAAGATGATATGATTTGGATGGAAATGTGGACGTTGCTGCCCAAATGTAGCATAAATCATGATCAATTTTTTTGGGGGGCTTGTGATGTCCATAATATGAATATTTCAGAGTTATGATTCATATTAGCGTACGATTCAACTCTTTTTCTATGTTTGTGAACTTGTTCTGAGTTAGAATGTACTCTAGTTCAAAATCTTTTCCAATTTTCTGTGTGTGGATCCTATTAGTCTTTTAAGTTGCTTTTTTACAATTTCAATGGTTCATATAAACTTACGTTCTTACGCTCCGCTTTTACGCTTAAGTTTGTACCCATCATTTCGCTTATACATAAAAACTATAGTTTAACTACATTGGCCTCAGCCACTGCTTCGAGTAGTGGGGTCGCAAGTTCTTCAGATTCCGGGGCACTCAAAAGGAGATCTAGGGGTAGGAGCAACACTTCTGCTCCAAGTACTTGAAGTGATGATGATAGAGCTGAAGGTCATGAATCTGTCAACTCAAGGTTTAAAATTAAAGGAAATGAAGAATCCAGGTCTGCCCCGGATGATTTTGCCAGATCTTCTGGCAGGCATAATTATCCTTATGCACATGCAAGATCGCCTTGATGGACTAAAGGGATAAGCTCTTCTGCAGCGCGCAAGAAGAAAGTGAAAGATGTCTCAAGATACATGATCGATGCTGCCAAAGAGAATCCACAGTTGGCTCAGAAACTTGATGATGTGCTGGTAGAAAGTGGTGTTAATGCACCACCTAGCTTGTTTACAGAATTTGAGTAGTTGGGCCTGCAGTCAACTGAGGGTAAGTCCGTGATGGAAGAAGATGACGACCATAAACAAAGAACTAGAATCCAGTAAATGCAGGATAACAATGATCCTAGTCCTATGCGCTTTCTGCCGCCTCTGCCTCACCATAAAGTGCAATCCCGAGCAACTTCGACACTGTTAAGACTATCATCCCCGGAGACAGTATCCATGGTAGATGAGCCTGGTCCTGCTTGATATTTGCCACCCCTGCCTCATTACAACGAACATTCTAAATCTACTTGTACCGCACAGGATCAAACAGAGCAACTTAACCATCCTTTAGTGATGTCGTCAGAGTGTGATGCAAGTCCTGTGAAATATGTGAAAAATGTTCCTGTTGCAGCTGCTGCAGCAGCCGTTGTTGCATCTTATATGGTGGTTGCTTGCTTCCCTGACTCAAATTTGGAATCGCCTGTTGCTGCTGCAGCAGCAGTAGTGGCAACAAGTGTTGTTGTCAGCAAGAAGCAGCAGGATCATGGTGTAAGAAGTGATGGAGATACGTATAGTACTGGCTATGAGCCACGGGGAAGTGGGGATCGGGGTAATGGGGGCCGAGAACATGATGTCATTTTGGTGAATTCAGAGGGAGAGAGAGTATCTGATAGATCAACAGGTAATGATAGCTCGAGGCTATATATCAATCTTGATGATGTTGTGGAGTGTGAGATTCCTTGGGTGAACGCATTGTACTTGGTACTGACATTATGCTATCGTTTTAACTTGTATCAGATGTTATTGATCATGGGTTGGTTTGTTGTTCTTATTGCTTGGTGATTAATGTTGCAGGATCATATGGAGAAGTCTACCACGTAGAATGGCATGGAACCCTGAGTATTTATCTTGTGATTCAAATTTCTGTTGCTATCTTCTACATCTAGAATATTCAGGAACAAATCTGAGGGGTTATATAGATCATGCCCTTTAAAATGCATTTTGTTAAGAAGTTCAATTCTGTTGGAACACCAGACCAAAGGCTTGCGATTCTATTATCTTCTGCAATGAATTCTTATGTGGCCTTGAGATCTTAGATGTCTCGGAAGTAGCAATTTCAGCCTTTTCATTTAGTTCCCTCCTACCATTAATTCTTGAGTTGTTTGAAATAGTTCAATGGACTGAATTTCCATCAACAGTTGCCATGAAAAATTTACTGTGCTAACGAGAGTATTTCTTTCCTTGCTGCATCTTTATAGGAAGTTGTCGTGAAGAGGTTCCTAAATCAGGATATTTCTGGGGAGAGTTTAAGAGCGAGGTATGAGCTTGCTCAATTCTTTCTTCTGAGAATGTTTTCTTTCTCTCTCATGTCCACTTGGCACGCAAAGGGCGGGGTGTCGTATATATTATAGTAGTTGTTTGATCATAGTTTTGGTAATTTTCTTGCCAACCTTAGCTGCACACTTAAGGTTAAATGTCAATGACTTTAGTTTTCATGTTTCATTCATTTAATAAAAATGCAATGTGCATAAATTCATTTGTTATGGGTTTCATGTGACATGCCTGGTTTCTATTATTATTATAGAATTTTTTCCCAGGTGTGCTTCATGTGCAAGCAATACTTCGAACCCAAAGTTGTTATCTGTTGACTAGGCTTGGTTGCAACTATTTTTGCCTATATAGAAGGACACAGCTCTCCAGACATAGACCTTCCTCGCTTGATGTGCTTAATACAATGGTGAATTCCCTTTTTATCTGTCTTTTCTTTTTGCAGAGGTAGCTTGTATAGATTACTTCACCGCCCTAACAATCAATTGGATGAGAGAAAGCGGTTGAGGATGGCACTTGATGCAGTATGATTTTAACGTTGTTGCCTTAAGTGTTCAGCTCCAATTCATCAGAATTTGGTTTTAGTAAATGAAATAAATTAATTTTCAGTAGTTGTGCATTGTGATTTGAAGTCTCCAAATCTCTTGGTTGATAAAAACTGGGTTGTGAAGGTATGAAATTTTGGTCTATCAAGAATGAAACACAGCACATTTCTCCCTTCAAGGTCAACTGATGGAACTGTAAGCTCTTTTCTTGACCTTTTGTTTTGAGTGAAGAAAGTGGCTGAGTTCAGATATTTGCAATATCAGTTGTCATTGGTCGGCACATAAAACTTGTTTTTCTTCTTCTTCTTCTGTTCATCATACATCAGGCCGAGTGGATGGCTCCAGAAACGAACCTTCAGATGAGAAGTACGTTGTTTGTTCTCGAAACTACTCATTCTCATTTTTTTTATCTGCTCTTGGGTCTTAACCGAGTGTGAGTGAACTATGCATGCAGGTGTGATGTATATAGCTATGGCCTATGGGGTTATACTTTGGGAGCTATGTACAATGCAACAACCATGGGGAGGAATGAACCCTATACAGGTTGTTGGTGCGGTAGGGTTCCAGCACCGACGGCTTGAGATTCCAAACGATATGGATCCTACAGTTGCAGATATTATCCGGAGATGCTGGCAGACGTAAGTATATATAAGACCATGTTAGTGTTCCCTGTTTAGAATCACGAATCAATTTGACATGTAACCTAGCAGTTAACTAGAAATGATGACATTATCATTATTGCTTTTCAGAGATCCCAAATTGAGGCCAACATTTGGAGAAATCATGGCAGCTTTGAAGCCACTGCAGAGGGCTATAACTAGCAGCCCAAGGGCATAGGCATACTACAAGTGCTGGTGGAGCTGAGAGCAAGGGTCAATCTCCACCAGGAGAAGATCAGGCGGCAGGATAGTTCAACCATGGTCGAAAATTGCAGCTTCAGATAGTGTTCAAGGGAGCAACATAGCTTCCCCCATCTTGCTGGGCCGCGTAACTTAGGGCAAAGAAAGCGATCAGCAGGAGATGTGGATGCGGCTGAAAGAGAGAAAGCGAGTATGCGATGATTCTGAACTCTGGATTCTTCACTGTGTTATGTTGTGATCCTATTGATGTGCAGTGGAATGAATCATCGTCCATTGTCGATGTTTGTATATCTAGTCTCTATGAAATGCTCTCAGTTTGAAACTGCCGATATATATGGTCATTTGTGGTGGCTGCTGGAATTTTTTTTTTTTTTTGGTTTTCGGGTTTCCTGTGGTCATCAAGATGACAGCAGAGTGAATTTTTGTAGGTTGAAGCAGCAGGTAGTGGGATAAATCTAAATCGTTTTGCACAGTTTCTCAGTTACAATAATGAATACCAGACAAGCAGCTCACATATCCTCGATCTTCTCCTTTCTCTTCTTTTGTTACATTACTAGACTGAATACGTCACCGTTTTAGGGCAAAGCGGGGAACATCTTCACCGCCCTAGGGTAAGGCGGTGATTGTTTCCCACGTTTCCCACCCCTGGTAGGTGAAAATTAGGTCACAACAACCTAATCTTCACCGTTTGTGACAAACGCGGTGATGTTGTTCACCGTTTTTGTCTCAAACGGTGAATGCTGGCCGATTTTCCTTTATATACCACTCCCACCAGCAGTTGTAAAAACGTAATCCCTTTCCCTCTTCAAATTTAGGCAACCAAAACCGAGCAACATACACAAAACAGGAATTTTTTGTATGATTTAATTTTCGTATTGTAGCCTAATGGTTGTTTTTAGTAGTTATATTTTTATGTTATAAATTACTTATCGTAGCAAATATGGCCGATGTTATGAATTACTGGAATTGAGCTAATAGTTACTTATTGTCTGACTGATTTTTTTTTTTTTTACTGAAATAGTTACTTATTGTAAATTGTAGATATGGGTAAATTCAAGAAGTTTCAGCTTATTATTCGGTGGAATGGAAGGGTTACAAACTCTGACATAGGGATTGATTATGAGGACGGTGTATCCACTATGCTGAAAATTGAGTCGCGATTCAATTTTCAAGAACTCTGTGATATTTGTGCAGACAGGGTTTGTACGAGCGGACATACGAGACTTGGTAAAATTAGTTACCGGTATCCAGACATGAGTGCTGGCGGGCTTGTGTACCAAGAAGTTGTCATAAACGATGATGACGTGGTTACGATGATGTTACAGTTCCTAAGCGATAACGGGATGCGGCAAGCAGAGGTGTATGTTGAGACCGAGGCGGTCGGTGAAACTCATTTTCACCAGTATTCTTATGATGATGGTTTTGCAGGAGGGTACGGATGGGGCGGTAGTTCGAGCAACTACGAAGGAGGTGGTTATATAGGAGGTTACGGAGAGGGTGGTAGTTCAAGAAACTACGGTGGAGGTAGTAGTGCAGGATGGGTGCCATCGAAAGAATACTCGCAACAGGATCAACCTGCCAATGGCATTCAATGGCCTGCTTGGGAGCCTGAGTGGGCTGAAATCGACAATACCATTCGAGCAGGGCGTACTTCACATGAGCGAGAAGATGATGTTGGTGATGGTGGTCATGTTGATCCTTCTGGCCCGAGCTATCCATTCGACTCGAGCGACGATGATACTGAGGAAGATTTGATATCAGTGAGCGAGGAGGAAGATACTGATGATAACGACGATGAGGCGGTATTTCGTGAGGCACCGACGCCATACTACACACAAGTTCCAACTCAATTTTTACATAGTCAGAATGATGCCCCCAACTTTGTCCCTATGCCAGTGTATAATCCGACAGCCAATTTGGAGGTGGGTATGGCGTTCTCATCGAAGGACGCTGTGCAGGATGCCTTTACCAAAGAGGCCTTGAGGCGCAATTTCGAGTGGAAGGTAAAATATTCTGACAGTAAACAACTACATGTCATATGCAAGAATGATGAGAGGGCTGTATGTGGCAACTGCGGGCTGCAAATATGAAGAGAAAGGGTGCCTGGGTGATTCGAAAAGCTGAGACCAACCACACTTGCTCCTCGTCCATACGTTCCCAGGATCACAGGCAACTTAAAGCAAAGAAAGTTGGGAGAACTATTAAGCACCTTATCGAAGCACAACCAGATATCAAGGTCAAAGCTATCATGCCCGAGGTGAAGGATCTACATTCTTACACGATAAGGTACAAAAAAGCATGGCATGGAAAGCAGAAAGCCGTGGCTGAGGTGTATGGTGATTGGGAGGATTCGTATGCTTTACTCCCTAGACTTATGGCCGCAATGGAGGAGTCCAACCCTGGGACTGTTTTCATGCTAGTATACAACAATGTATACATTGAGGATCAAGTTCGAGTACAGGAGAAGTTGATGTTTCACCGTCTTTTTGGGCTTTTAAACCATGCATTGACGGGTTTGCGTTCTGCATACCAGTTATACAGGTATTTTAATAACTATTTACTATTTGAAATGTTTGTATTCTTTCCTTGTAAGTAAATTTCATACTAATTACTTCCTAATTTTTAATTAGGTTGATGGAACTTTCTTTACTGGGAAGTACAGAGGAACTCTTCTCATTGCCACTGGCGTTGATGGAAACAGGCGGATTTTCCCGCTTGCATTTGCATTAGTGGAAGGGGAGAACAGCTTAAGTTGGGCATGGTTCTTTGACCAACTACACGAACACGTGACACAGCGGGAGGGTATTACGATTATATCTGATCGACACGCGGGGATTAGGAATGTCGTGGGTGGTTTTCCTAACGAGTGGGGATGGACATGGCGCTAGTGTATTCGACACTGGCTCGCCAATTTCCAACACAAATTTCGGAAGAAGAAAGACATCAAAAATCAATTGCGGCATGCAGATACTAATGTCCTTTAATGCGAATTAACTTTGTATTTAAAAAAAATTATTTATCATGTATTGACCACTGTGATTTTGTTCACCTTGCAGCGGTTGCACATCTACCAAAAAAGTACTAGCAGAAGATGAAGACTACTTCACCTGGATATGGGTCCCATGTAACCTATACTCATTCAAAATTTGCAATTAGCGACCATTTACATTGAAAGAATTTAAATTGTTAAAATAGGATAAAGCATGATTACCTGGTTCCACCATGGCTTATCTAACTCAGAACGGTAAAACAGTAAAGAGTGCTCAGGTTGATAGTCGTTTGTATTTGCTCCTATCCACCTTGTAAGTAAAAGTATGGAATAAATTTAAATTAGGCTAAGTAAGGAATGAATTTAATTAAAATATAGCTAAGCATGGAATAAATTTAAATTAGGCTAAGTACGGAATAAATTTAATTGAAATATAGCTAAGCATGGAATAAATTTAAATTAGGCTAAGTACAGAATAAACTTAATTTAAATATAGCTAAGCATGGAATAAATTTAAATTAGGCTAAGTACAGAATAAACTTAATTTAAATATAGCTAAGCATGGAATAAATTTAAATTAGGCTAAGTATGGAATAAACTTACTTGACACCGTAGGGGGGATTTTGCACAAAGTGTAGCTCATCATCTGCTCTCCGGTATGGACGTGGGTCTTGAGGTGCGAACATTGGAAGATGCTCCTATACAGAGCTGGAGGATGAACATCGCAACACCAGCTTGTTTCGCTCCCACCTTCGAGCAAGTACACAGCTCCCGGTATACGCCAGCTAACACGGCTGATCCCCAACTCTTTTCCCCTATTGCGTCCCAATCACCAAGGAGCAATGGCAATCATATGCCTTGAATCTACCGGTTTGACTTGTCGGGGACAGAAATCCACTGACCAAACCAATGAGGTAGATGTGTGCATAGCGCTCCACTTGATCTTCCGGTGTCTCGTTGTCGATGGCCACCTCATTTTGGATGTGAGTAACGAGCCACGAGACCGACACTTGTCCCGCATTCAATGGTGGATGCCCCGTCCTTGAATTGGTGTGGTGGTCAGCATGTCAAAGCTCAAACGATCACAAATGAGCGGCCCCCAACCTCCTTCGGGTTTGGTAGTGCTCCCAATGATGGCCTCTCCAGAAATCAGCAGCCCGGTGAGGATCGCGACGTCTTTGAGGGTGATCGTCATTTCCACCTCCAGAAGGTGGAACGTATGGTTTTCGGGGTGCCATCGCTCCACAATTGCCGTCAGCAGATCGTTGTCGATTTCGATCCGCATGAAATGCCTTAGCATACCCAACCCGATCTTCTCTATATAGGGCGCTAACCGATCATGCCAAGCGGGCAAGTTTGTGGTCCCTTTATGAACGACGGGAATAAGTGATTCCTATAAAAAAAATAGGAAAAACATCAATTTGTTAGTTTAAAGAAAGAAAAATAATACCTTATAAATAATAAAATAAAACAAAATAAATCATCAATTTATCGGATTGTTAACCCAAATAGCATGGGAACGATGTGCTTCTTGATCGGTTAAATACCTCGTATCTCTTGGGCCATAATTGATATACAATCGAGGATCGTATATCTCGCCACCCATCTATAAAAAAAAGTAATGAAATCAGATTTTTTTTATTAAAAAAATCACAAAATCAAATTATTTCGATTAAAAAAAATCACAAAAGAAAAAGAGAAAACCTACCCGAAGAGCCTCTTCGTCCATTTTTTGGCGGAAGCCGGACAGAGGTTCGACGGGTTTAAAAGGGACGGGGGCTTTAGGGTATAACTCTAGTAATTCTTTCTTATGTGTAAGATCAGACTTAGCCGCAACCATAGAGCATACTTGGAATGAGACTAGAGTGGATAGATTGAGGGAGAAAGAAGTGTAAATATGGTGGTGTGATTTGGAAGAGGGGGGAAGGGTTATATTTATAGTGAGGGAGGGGAGGGATCTGCGCAAAATTACTAGGGGGACATCACCG